AATAAGTAATTAAATTTACACAAATGTATAATTACGAAACATACTGTCTATAAGCATCAGAGCTGGTATAGTAATTGAGAAATAAAAATAATTCTGTGTAATGACCAAAGTATTAAATAAATATTTGAACGTTTACGATCAAAGAACGTAAATAAATAGCCCATTCAATCTTTTACAAAACCCATTTAAATTAAAATAATTTCGCTGAAGAATATTTTTGATATATTAGTTTTATATCCATTATAGGTATACATATTTTTAATAATAATCAAGAGATATGGATATAAAATTGTTTCGTTACTTCTGTTAAATTGGTTTCGAAGTTAAAGTCAGTTTCTTTATTCAATTCCCATAGGCTTATTTAAGGCTCTTATTGAACGTCTAAAAACTACCATTGGTTCCCTAAACTAGACCAGTCCAGAGAAGAACCAGCAAGATACTCCGCGGTCTGGTTATCTTATTTTTTTTAATTATATGGGTAAGTTTACAAAATTATTTAAATATGAAATCTATATAATTGTAATAGGTCCTTTCCATTGAGGTAGCTTTTACAAAATTTTTAAAATTGTTTACATTCATAATTTATTTGTGGATAATTACCACTTATTTTATTATATAATCATCTGCCAGGAAACGATTTTCTGGTTTAAGCCAATCAAGATCTCGGTCTCGTGTCCCCACGGCCCCGGCGCAATGTGGTATGTTTTTTTAATAAATTGTTTAGTTTAAGTTTCTTTATTTGCTGATAAATAGGTAGTACAGAAAAAAAAAATTTTTGGTCTTGTTGTCTTGTTGTTGTCACAAATGTCAACCTAACCTATTTAGCTGTTTTAAACAGCATGCAAATGTCCAGAAGATATATTTTTATAATACAGTTGTCTAATTTTTTTTTTTTGTTTTTTTACATGTAACTAAAATTGTCCTACAATTTTAATAGATATATTAATTAATTAATGCATCGATTTTAAACAAAACAAAAAAAAATAATATATGAAATAATATTAACAACATTAATTAGGTATTACAATTTAAAAACTCATTTATTGTGTAAAATAGATTCTCTAGTAGCCATCGTCGTAACGAAATTTTAAACATATTATATGGTAATTGTTTTTATATGTGAGGGTATCTTGTTATAAATAGTATTGCACATTGCATAGCTATTTTTTTGAAAGCGCTTACTTTTAGGAATTGTATCTAGTACTAATTTATCTTGGTTCCGTAAGTTTATTTTTGTCACATCTTTAGCTTGTAAAAACATATTCTGGTTTTGTTTTACAAATTTGCAAACCTCAAATATATAGAGACAAGGAAAAGGAAGTATATTTAGGGTCTTAAAATAAGTCCTGCATGATATACATGATGATGAAATGTTACTAAGAGCTCTAATACAGCGCTTTTGAGCTAGAAATACTTTTTTACATTCTGTGCCATTACCCCAAATTATAAGTCCGTATCTGATAATAGATTCTATATGTGCAAAATACGCTGTGATCGCCGTATTTATGTTTGATATTTTTGCTAATTTATGTAACGCGTATACAAATCTGTTGATTTTGTTACACACTTTATGTATATGTTCCTTCCAATTTAGATTAGAGTCTATAACTAAACCTAGAAATGTTGTATTATTAGCATTCCGCAGTAATTGTCCATTATATTTAATATTTATGTCAAAATTTAAGTTATTAAAATTAATAATATGCGTCTTACTTAAATTAATGTGTAGATTATTTTTATTTAACCATTTATCTATTAAATTCACTGTTTTAATTATGTCTGTTTTTATGTTGCTCTAGTGATTTTTTCTTACTTGTCGTAATCGTCACTGAGATGTCATCGGCGAATAAAGTGATTTTGTAGTTTGAGACATCGGGTAAATCATTTATATATAATATAAATAGCAATGGTCCAAGTATACTACCTTGGGGAACGCCAAAAGTGTTTTTTTTGAATTCCGATCTATATACCTTAGCTATGTTATTTAGATCTAATTGTGTTATTTCAACACACTGTGACCTATTTTTTAAATAGCTTTCTAGCCAGCTGTAAGCAGGACCCCTTATTCCATTAGCCTCTAATTTGGCAAGTAATTGATCATGTGAGACACGATCGAATGCTTTAGACATATCAAGAAATAGTACTGTTGTATAATTTTTTTGATTCACATTGTGTATTTTATTTCATAAAGATGTGATTTGCTCAAAATATGCCGTATTTGGTCCAAGTGATTCTAAAATAAATAATATCATTAAAAACATAATTGCAAGAAAGTTTCCGAAGCAGGCATTACTTACATAACATTCAGATGATCCGGATAGTACGAGTATCGAGATAGTTTAAATGGACCGTGTCGACAACTGACCTCGTACCCATATTTTCTGTAGAAACCCTGTAGATACCCGAGAGAAATACCGATTGGAGTGGTCCATTTGGCCCGAGTGGTTCTCGAGAAGCGATAAAGCGTGCAGGTGCGAAGTGCGCGTCTACTGTCTTTGATCTCGAATGGTAAACGCCCCCTTACACAAGTGCCATCAGCTTCAACGGTCCAAATGCCGCCGACATCTTTATTTATAGGGAAAACAGTCCGTGTCGAGCAACGATGTTGTATAAAAATAACGTGGAAGATTATTTCGACATCTCGAAATTGCACTTGTAAAGTGCTCCATCCGAGGAAGGTATGACCTATAACTAATTAACGGATATGGGATTATAATCTATGCAAGTTTCTATAGTTGAAAAATGTTTCTATTGCACATATTTATTTTTTCTTACTTTAGAATAAAAATAAAATTACCGGTTTGTTATAATTAGGTAAAATTTATCAATTCTGTAACCCAATATTATATCCCAGAATCATTATCCTCGTACCCTTATCCCACCTAGGCGGTGTCGGCACAGCATGTGAATCAAGTTGAAAGGGGTTTTGGCTTTGTGTGGGGATCGAGTCCACGCCTTTGACACCGAAGCTTAGCAAAGTCGCCATCAAGTCATCCCAGAATATGGATGTAATTGGGTTTATTTTTTTTTTCAAACGATTCACGGCACCTGACAAACTTCATGAGTACATTAAGTAATTCCTTTTTAGCAAATTTTATATTATCTGAAAAGTGTATCGAAAACTATAGAGATAATGTAATATCTGCGAGAAGGTTATTAGAAGTAAATTGGAAGATTGCACGTTGGAAAAACGGAAATGAACACGATAACAGCTAAATAACGGAAATTAGAACACTTTGTTCAGTTACGATAATTTGAGACGAAGTGCGCAACGCTGTAACGGCAGGTCTTGCTGCAAATGCATCTGCACATCGGCAACAGTTTGCTAAACCTTAGCGTTTCGCAAACGCTATCGACAGATACGTGACTGGAATACCTTTAATTTCGAATCCACTGACACCAGCAACTACTGCGACAGAAGAATTTTGTCTTGTGTGACCCAGTTTGCGTAGATGCACACTATTACTTATGCAAGTTGAAACAAGTACGGTGCAAAAGTTTGCACTGTACTGTTTCAACTCCCTCCGGTGTTGCAGATGTTCATGGGCGGCGGTGATCACTTTCCATGAGGCGTTTGCCTCCTTTTTTCAATAAAAAATATTTAAATTATGTTTTGTATAAAAACTACTTTTTTTTTTTCAATATATTAATCATAACGTTCATATACAAAATAAAAATTTCGTGTGATAACCGAAAAAGCACCGTCACGAAATATTATATATTCATCGAAGTATCAATTGGTGTTTCTCACACTCTTTTGATACGTGTAGAACACTGTGAACATTTTGTACAAAGAAGAAAAAGATGTAAACTTTGATACAAATATGTATCAAAATTAACATATTTTTCTAATGTATTGGAGACTATAGACCTTCTGTTATATGAGAGAATTTAGCAAAACGATAGACCTTGTGTTAAGTACTGTCGCGAATAGACATCTGTGTCGTTGAGTTGTCAAGGTTTTAGAGCTTGGGCCCCAATTAAATTTCTCATCAGACGACAGAGGTGGTGACATTAGCACTTTAATTACTACTCCTTAATGGCAATATTCAGATAGGTCTTGCTATTTCCTTGTTAATATAACGATGCAAAGAGACTTCACAATTTTTATGATTATCAGAAAAATCAAATTGTGTAATGAAACAACTTGATATTGTGATAATTATAATTTTTAGTAAAAACGATGTCGGATGAATGGTTAAAGCCGTTTTGTCGAAAAAGAAATTCATTCAATAGCGAACTACACCAACTTTCTCTTTAAAACTTGATCGCTTCTTGATTCGTTGGGATTCCTGAAAGGAAATCGTTCGCGGCGGTACGTCATTGTGGCACATGAAATAATTTTATTACACATATTTTACGACCAGCCGAATATCCCCCGCGACATAAAAGTTTTACGGCGAAATTTCTTGTATCAGGACCCGGGGCACAAAAGTCACACTATGCCGCTCTACGTATCGACCGGGAATTTTTATAGCCCATGTATTATTTCATATTTAGCAAAGCCGTTAATCCGACTCGAGAAATGATTACGTTCCGCCTATCAACGTCTGAATAAAGTAGCTTAGCGTCTTATTTTCGATATATATATAAGAAATTGAAACAAGTAATTTTTTTTCGTATATTTATTATTTCTCTTTAATTACAAGTAACTTTTTACCCAAAAAAGAGTCTTGCTTGATTTTTATCATTACATGAAAAAAGCAAGTAATTTTTCCTTTCGTAATTTACATCAAGTTCATAGTAAACAAAGCCTGATTTTGTTTTTCATTTGTAAAATTTTTCGTTTAAGATTTGGTTGGTTTTATAGGGTTATTTTAAAACATAGTATTCTTGCTAATGATGTTAAATAGGTCATAAAAAGTGGTAGCAAAAGCATGGAGGTTCGTACTTTGATTCGTTACTAGATTTTGCTGGACTTCATGAAATCTCCTATTTCAATATTAGATAATTAACGTCTTAACATACTAGGACCAAAATTATCTAGGTAATTATCGCTAATAACTCACCAAATAATAAACTCCAAACGGCATCACAACTACCGCCACCAGCAAATCTGCTACCGCCAGGCTCACTATGAAGTAGTTCGTCACCGTCTGCAATGTCCTCTCCCTCACAACACTCAAGATCACCAACACGTTACCGAACAACGTGAAGAACGGAAATATCAGCAGCAACAATGCCCAGAAGTTGTACTGCGGTTCCGTGTCCAACCTTCCGAAGCAGGACACGTTTAGGGTACCGTTGAAGGTGCAGTTTGGGTATTCGTAGACATTGTTCAATACGTCCAGCGTTTGGTTCCGCACGTTGAATATGTCATGACTAACGTTCCCGTAAAAATAATCACTAAAGTCATCCACTAGCATCATGAAATTCTCACTTCTTTCCGTGGTACTGGCCATCTCATTTCTATCGTAGTCTCTAGTCGTTCTATCAATTGTGTAGTTCGCGGAACTCTGTCTCACAGCATCGGGAGGCCTTTTGGAGGGATATGTATGTGTGCTGTGGTAGGTCGTGGTGTAGTAATACGGCACTCGGGTAGCAGTCGCCATCGTCGATTCAACGAAATCTTTGCCACTCCGTAAAGTATGCTGCATATTGATTGATACACTTTTTAGCTCGTTACCATGTTTTTGAAATTCAACTGTGTCATCACCGCAACTTTCTTTTTCATACTTCTGTCTACATTGCTGATCTGAAACAAGGTAAAATTTACATGTATATTGAATGTATACATTAGTTAAGTTTTAAACTGTTTTTTTTTTCACAAAATATTGAGACAGACATTTATGATGAAATTTTCCGAGAAATTTTCCGAGGTATATAACAATATATTAGATACTGTTTTATCATTTATGCATTTCACAACATGTAGTAGTGAATTCAAATCACCAAGTGATTTTACCCTTCGCTGTGTTGGCCAATATCGCCAGACATATGTTAATACGACAGTAATTTTTATGCCTAACAAATACGAGAAAGTTAATACTCATTAAACCTTAGATTTATTATTACCACATATAACCTTACGCCCAAAGCCTTATATCATAAAATTAATAGCATATGGTGTATATAGTGTATCATGAAAAAACAATTCAAATGTTTTGACGAGTAGAAAGGACGAGACGAGAGTTAAGAGACGGTGCGAAATGGGACAGCAATGTGGCAAAGACGTGCGTAACGTTTTTAGAAAATTATGTGCAAGTGTGAAAATTGTTTTCTTATTGAAGAAAAGTATAATCAAATCTATTCTACGACAGGCTATTAGTCGGTTAATAAATAAGCTTTTAATTTTCATCTGCAAAGTTTACTACATCGTTATGATCACTGGTATGGCTTCCCTTGGAATGAATTCAGTCATCAATCAATTTATCGCACATTACAACGGAGTAACTTCCCTCCCACGCGAAACCTTCAAATTGTCACAGAAGACATCTCTTTGGATTTTTATGCATAAGTCAATTTGAAATGATTGATAGAGGAATCAGGGGCGCAGTCTTTACATAGATACTTTGTCGGTGTAGCATCATCAATCATGCTTAGATGACTTTCCGAAATTTGAAAACTCATTTAAAATTGTTGTATCCACTTCACTGTTTATATTTAAGTTGGTGGCATTTGTATAAGCTAAAATTAAACGCCACGCCAACGCTGATGTAACTAACATTTCTAGTAGGAATATTTGGCGAAAGTTTCATTACGTGCATCTGATGGCTCCATGGGGCAGCTGTCAAGGTATTCCGGCCGTTGTACCATCAGAGGTTTAGTCCATGCGTTAACCTTTGGCGCTGGCGCGGGGACCAATACCTCCGGGGGAGGTGGTTGCGGGAGGACGGTTGCGGGGGGGGGGGGAGACCTCTGAGGCGCCCCTCTACGACCGTTTTGAGCCGGGCGCTTTGAGCGCGGGGCTTTTGGACAACCGCGATAATTTGCGGGATGTCCCTCTTCGCTTCGACGCCGGTGGTCGTGAATTCTATACCCATACAAGACAACTATTTGTCTGACCTACAGAAATTTTTTTGGACCTGGATGTATGTCCACGTGCAACTTAGATATATGTGATGTTGTTACAACAAAGACTACAAGGTAAGAATACAATTAAGCTTTCTAGGTCGCAAAATACAAATACAATACGTGCACCCTATGTTGTATATGTATTGAAAACTAAAAGTTATTTATAATTGCAATGTTCATTTGCAACGGTAATTAAATGTGGTTAAAATCACCCAAAATTTCATGAACGGTTTACGGCTGCAGTCATATTTGAAACGTACCTGTCCGAGAAGAGGACAGTTACCTCGTCTATTATATAAAAGACTATTGACCCCCCCCGGCTTCACACGGGTGCAATGTCTTATACGTATAAACATTCCTCTTGAATCACTCTATCTAGTAAAAAACGCGCATCAAGATGCGCTGCGTAGTTTTAAAGATCTAAGCATACATAGGGACAGACATACGGGGGACGACTTTGTTTTATACTATGTAGTGATTAGGGACTTAAACAAGTCGGCGACTTTCTGTCCCGCTCCCTATAATTTCCTGGAACAAGGAAAACATCCGCGATAAAAATCAATAGCCCAACTATGTCAGCCATTATGCTAATCCTGTCTCACGGCCGGGATTCGGGTATTGGCGAGCATGACGGACGATATTATGGTAATTTCGGCGATTCCTTCGCAATGATGGATTCAATGCTGACACTGGCTCCTTTGTCAGCGACTTTGACGGTCGTTTAACCTCTTTGGGTGTAATAGTTGGTGGTATGTACTGATTGATGACCACCAATAAGCAAATCAGCTCGTTCCAAGCCAAGATTCCGACTGGCAAATATTGGTTTAAGCGCTAAAATAACACATCTCTTCTCACTTTGTCCCTAAGTCCATGGGAAACGCTTGGACTCCATGATGTTCCTCCAAATCCAATTTTTACAAGAAGAGTAATACGACTTAATAAGACTTACCGTAATAGATTTACTGATGTTCATGGGGCGAGGTTTAATTGTTTACATAAAATTTCAAGTTTCAAAAATATTTTCAATTTATTAATGTTTCACTTATTATTTAAAGCTGTTCAGTGTCTAAAAATCGTTCTTGCTTGACTTCAATAACTTTGCGTCAATCACACTCTTTTCTTAGGTAAGGGCGACTTGTGGAAGAAATAAAACTTAGAAGAGTTAATCGAAACGTATCGCGTAGTTTTTTCGTGCTGCGCGCCCAATGGCAGACCTCTATCATTTTATTTATATAGATTTTAAGTGTAACCGCAATAGAGGCAATATTTGCCAATTCGGTTGAATATCTTTATAATCAAAATTATATGATATATGACGTTTTTACTGTTTATGCTTCAATATTAACACTAATTTGTTAACGTCTGAATAACTGATTACTAAGATCCCGTTTGATTAGTGCTGCGTGATCTTCGAATGAGCTTAGATTTTTAGACCTTTTATACAGCGTGTCGTTACAACCGCGACAATAAATGAAGACACATATAGAGGATAACTTTTTATAATTGTATGAAGCGTTTACATTGTTTAAACATCAATATTTACCGAGTTATTAAATTCTACAAAACAAACAATTTTAGAACACCCTTGCGTATAAAACTGTAACCTAAAGTTCATTTGTAAAGGTCACAAAGCGTACGAATGGGTTGAATGAATTCAAAACAACAAACATACTGTTAGAAGGAGAGACTTGTAATGCGACCTTGTGGCAACGAATGAAAATGTATGAATCAGTCAGTAGTAGATGTGTAGGATGTTACAAATGTTGTTTCTTTTTTATTTAATTAGTTTGTTTGAAAAATATATTTTTTTAATTATGGATTTTTTTAACGTTTTATATATTTTTATGATTATTGGCAAGTAGCGTTAGACATGTGTTCATTTATTGTCGCAGTTGTAACGACACGCTGTATATAAGTTATGAATTTCGATCAAGGACTTTACGGATTGTTTCTGGATCGATTAAAATATATCGAATAACGTAATTTCCTTCACGTTTCCTTAAATTCAGCTAACGGCTTTTTAATTATGGCCATCCCCCTGTTAAAACAGATGCTATCAAAAAATCGTTATGGAATCTCGCATTCCCATCGAGATAGCTTCGCCGCCGTTTTCCTTTCTCTTATTTCCGGCAGTCCAACTTCATCCTTAAGCACCGTTTAGGACTAAGACAAGTTAGACAGTTCAGATGGCTCTTTGAACAGTGGCCCTTGATAATTGCATGCGGAAATTTGCTAATCTTTTCCCAGAAATGGGACGTATCATTTACCGTGACAAGACTTTATTAATATATCGTATAAACAGGAAGACAATATTTTCCAATGCTTTGTATATGAATGTCAGTTTAGTACATAAATTGCCTAAAGGTTTTTCTGCCCTTAGTTAGCTCATTATTTTGTCGTTTTTTTTTTAATTTAAACTGTAACTAAATGTAACATAAATGTGTATAGATTAAGTGACGGATTAAATGTCTTATGTCTTATATGTCTTAGGGATACTGGACATGAATGTTAATAATAATGGGTCCCACACACTGGCCAACTGTGCTGATGATCTCATGGTGCGAAAATCTCGGCAAGTATCCATATTTATTTCGCATTTTCAGCAATTCTTGGCGACGTATACTGACCTAAACTGACGATGTCTACACGGCGCATAAATATATAATTTCTGCCTTATTTTTTTGTTTATAAACCACAATAATTCTATGCTTAAAAATGCCGAGCTTATACGCAAAGCAAAGGTCTGCAACTATATTGATATATATTCTCGTGAGCGTCACTAATACTCGCTTTAGTTCACTACATAATGTTCAAAGTGAAAGCATTTTGTCCCAAATTCGGCCGCACGGAATTTGTACGTAACCCAAAATTCTAAGTATTTATTAAATTCCCAATATCGAACGGTAAAACTTAATGTGTTATAAATTGAAACATATCAAAGAGGTTAGCATCACATAGTTTCTCTCCGCCTGCCTGGTTGATGTCTGATTTTGTTAACACTATATTGGACGGTCAAAGATGAAATAATTCCTAGAGTTTATAATGGAGAATAAATAAATTAGCAATTGAGAAAATAGACAGACTGATTTAATCCATTAACGTTAAATTGAGGTTAACTATACAAAATACGAGCTTTTATAAACGAAGACGTTGACATCTCGTAAATCTTACCTCAGAAAAGAAATCAACATTAGTAACTTTAATAAAGAATTTCTTAAGCGACCATTTTTTTCGAATTTTAAACGCTCTTATTAAGCTTTCTAAACGAAAGATTTGTAAAAGCCTAATTACTTGAACAGAAGTACCAATTAATAACTTCAAAGGGGTCCCAGAGAAGTATTTGTTCCATTGTTCACTTTGTTCCCGCTTTGAACGTGATTTTGGCCCACGAATATCCGTACATTTTATAAACAAATAAAGTTAAACTGATTGAGACAGCTTGACTGGTGATCGTCTACGCTCTATGGCTCGATAAATATATTTTTTTTATGTGAGAAGGTGACATTTGCAACACAACCGTAGGTTTTCAGACGCAGTTTGAACCGTAGGTTTGCACCTTTTAACAAAGTGGGTCCCGGATACC